ATGTATTCATATTGCAGCGAACATTCCAAAAATTTCTATAGATATCGAAGCGCCATGAAAGATTAGTAATCGGCGATACAGAACGGAGGATGTGACGCAATCCCGGAAATATGACGTATTTTGTTCTGGAATGTTCGTAACCGCTCGCGAATACTCGACTTTATTATATAAGCAAATTGGATTGCATTATACGACATTTCCAACTTCGATATTTTTGAGTTATTGTTATAAATTGTAAGTGATAAATAATAATTATCGTTATAAATTAATTCGCTTTAAGACAGTTATAAATTTATTATCATGACAGCCGAGCGTATGTCTCATCAAAACCAAAAAGTGATAACGAAATTTAAATCTTATGTGCAATTATGTGCAGATCTGGATTCAACAAATTGAATAGACATTAAAAAAAAAATCACTTTGTATAGGTGATGTTTTCGTAAACAATATTCTACACAAATTCAAAAAAATATCATTTCAGTCTGCTTAATAGCATTTTCTTACCACACCAAAACTGAAACTGAGAAATTATATTTGCTGAACAGTGAACAGTGCGAGGCGAAGCCGAGCTACGAACTGTTACGAAACAGAGTGAGGCGAGGCGGCAAACCCGCCGGAGCCGAGCGAATGTCTCCTCAAAACCAAAAAGTGTTATCAAAACTAAAAAATCTTATGTAGAATTATGTGCAGATCTGGATTCAACAAGTTGAATAGACATTTAAAAAAGGTGATGTTTCCATAAACAAAAATATTCCTCACAAATTCAAAAAAATTATCAAATCAGTCTGCTTAGTATCATGTTCTTACCACACCAAAACTGAAACTGAGAAATTGTCCTTGATACATGATACATGGTACATAGGTCGAGTAATCGAAATCAGGAAATTAAACACCGCATGTGAACAGGTCTACAAGATGAAATTTCTAAAACACGATCTTGACTCATACATATGGCCCAAAGTTGAGGACATCCAAAATGTAGAAAGATCCTACATATTCTATGGACCTGTGGACTTAAAGGGTAGTGGTCCATTTACCCTAACAAGATATGATTATTTTACTTTTATTTTATTTATCGTGCATTTTTAGCGATATTTCTATTCATGAAATCAAACTTCATTCTATCCCAAGGATAGGAATTTCCTGGCTAGATTAAGTTTCAAGTAAACTGCTTTTTGCAATTAGTCCGTCAGGTAAATTGAGATAGCCATAGAGCCATAGAGCCATAGCCATAGAGGTTTTTAGAAATATTATACCAGTTGCTAATATTACTATTGGTATTATCAAAACTTGGTTAAGATACTCGTTTAATTTCTATAGCGGAATCTTTATATCTTTGTATCTTCTCTTGTTGTGTTTTAATAATATTATTGGATAGAGAACAACCAACATCATTAGAAAGGGCTTCTTTACTTGTTTTGTCGATGTGAAGTCAAGATCACGATAGAGTGCTTATCAGATCTAATATTGCGATACATTAACATTCGATTCCAAAACAGATGATGGTAGATATTTATACTATGCTTTCAAAGATTTGAGCAAATGGTATTATTGTGCAAATTTACTAAATATAATATCTATTAATATTATTCTTATTATTTTGTGAGCACTTAAGAAAAGGCTGGTTAACTAAATACTTTTATTATTAGTTATTAGCTATTCATTATCTGCAAACTGAACTTTAAAATGCAACGCAATCTAGATGTGATTTCATTTGCAGACCAAAAAGGTACATAGTGACGACGCAATACGTATCTACAAATATGATACCACTATAGGTTCGTATTTGCCTTGCATTTTTTACCTTACAACACCACCACACGCCACAAATCCTATGTAACTTTCGAGGTAACTTTAAAGAAATTATAGAAATCATTGCATAATATAGGGAAATCGCAAATGATTTCCGGGAAATCAATGAGAAATCGCAAGTGATTTCCAGGAAATCGTGGAAATCAACCAGAAATCCCAAGTGGTTTTCGAGAAATCAACGAAATCGCTTAAAAATCGCAAGTGATTTCCAGATTTCTAGAAATACGTGTACGTTTTCACTAGAGTGGTTACCCCCTCGATATCATTAGAAGAGAAAAAAGCATCTTTCGATTGGTATCATTATGAACCCTCTAAGTTAATATGGGGAGCAATGATCTGCAAAAAACGTTTTTCCCATGTTAATTGCTTATGTTCGGTTTTGAAATATTTACCCGGTAGAAATGCAAACAAATTCAAATTAATTCGGGTCATTTCAGAATAATTCACGTTAATTCAAATTAATTTACGTTAATTTAAATTAATTTTCGTTAATTCAAATTAGTTCACATTAATTCACGTTAATTCAAATCGAGAGGTAAACCGCTGGTTCAAAACGTGCACACCATTACTCATAATGTTGTATTACTACAAAGTATTACCATAGTGTAATTACACTAAGGTATTACCTCGGTATTACCATAGAGGAAATACAATCATTATTACTCGAGTAATACACAATATTTCACTGTATTTCCCGCGAATTAATTATATACATTTCTTAATTACTCGAGTAATACCTCGAGTAATACCCGCCAATACTACTCAAGTAATATACACTATTGCACAGTATTGCTTGTGTAATACTCACTAGTACTCAATATTACCCGTACTACTCGTTTTATGTAATGGAAACATTTCGGCATGCATAGGCATTCTTGACAAAATATCTAAGTGGAATTTTATACACTGTGTCATCAAAAGGTACGTATTTTGGGGCTTAGTAAAATGGTGATTACGATCAAAATTTTGCAGGTGGCTCCTTTATCAAATTTGTCGATCGTGAATTGGCAATGTAGGCCAAAAAATAAGATAGGCTCTTTTTACATCTCTGTTAGTTATAAACCTCGTTACGAACAGAATTGCATGAAATTCAAAATTTTTTTGAATTTGTCACTTCCTTTCCGAATTATTACTGGTTCTGTGCGGGGAAAATGTGCTTTCGTCGGTCGCGAGTGACCACGTTTTTAACTTTTTTGTTAACTTTCTTAGTTGATTAGTTAGAAAGACGGTTAAAGTACCAAAACGGTGTATTTTTTCTAATGAATCCAAGTCTGCAATTAAAAAAAACAAAACCACATCGCATTTTTCAGATGATAACAAAAATATGACTTTTCATATGGAACACCCTGTATATTGTTACATAATATGACAGCTTATTAAATTGTCTATAAAATACTATAGCAAAATATTTTAAATAACCAACATTTTTAAATCATTAAATAGCTCCTAGGCCCTAGAGAGTTTATAATCTTGCGGCGCCTGTCAAATTAAGTCGGTACTTTCTTAGTTGATTAGTTAGAAAGACGGTTAAAGTACCAAAACGGTGTATTTTTTCTAATGAATCCAAGTCTGCAATTAAAAAAAACAAAACCACATCGCATTTTTCAGATGATAACAAAAATATGACTTTTCATATGGAACACCCTGTATATTGTTACATAATATGACAGCTTATTAAATTCTCTACAAAACACTATAGCAAAATGCTAGGACGTAGAGAGTTTATAATTTTGTGGTGCCTCATCTGTCCATTAGCACGATATCTCGAAAAGAATGGACCGCCGATTATGATGAAATTTTGCATTTGGATTCTTTATCAGAGTTATAGATCGGAGTTCGTGAATTGGCAATGTACGTAAAAAAAAAGGAAGGCCCTTTTGACATATCCGTTAGTTATGAACCGAATTGCATGAGATTCACTATGGGCATAGTTTTAGCCATATAATACGCAATGCCAAAAGTTGGGCCTAATCGATTCAACATTCACTGTGCCCTTTTTGTATTGCGAATTGCAAACTTTTTTATTTATGAAAGTATTTAAATGAAATTTGATACCTACATAGGCACTTGGAATAAAAGCAAATCTAACACCAGGTTCAAAATTTGGTTTGCTATAGCCACTATCTATAGTAGTATTAAATGGCATTAAATGTAAATTAATTACACTAACTTGGCATTATAACCACATTAAATTACATTAACTGAATTAGCTTGAAATTAACTGCATTTACAGAACATTTACATTAAAAGTTAATTTTAATGCATTAACTACTATTTGCACACCGAATTAACTAGGTGGTTTACCCCTCGATATTTCCTGTGTAAGACTTTGTCAGTTGGAAATAATAATAATAATTATTATTATAAATATGTACTATATTCCATACATAATGGGCACCCTGTATATACCATATCTAAACTTCTACCTAAAGTAACACTCTGAGAAAATTCTACGTTGAATGTGAAGATATCAATATTTTTACTGTTAGGCCTAAATTTGCGGATCTTGAAATAACACGCTGTAAGTTCTCCTCAAGAAGCTTGCGTAACAAACCTCTAATTGAAAGAGGTTTATTTGTGATTGATCAGCCTAGGTCATTGTGGAATCGTAGCTAATGTACCTTGTGAAATATTAAATCCGATTGTACCTAGGCGCAATTACAAATAATTAGCGACGGCCGACGGCGATTACCCAGATATCAAAAAGGTTAAAAATTTCCCAACGGGGACATCGCGTGAGGTCCCACATGGCTCCCGAAATCGGCAATAATAGTTCCCCGTTTAATTAAAAACGCGGCGCGCATCGTAATTACATTCAACTTATTGACGACAAAATGTCAAACGGGTACTTAAAAGACAACGTATATTACCTCCACTTAATAAATATAATGTATAAGCGCACTTAAAGATTATGGAGCCGTAAATATGTGGCGTTGTTTATGCCTTGGCACGTTTAGGTCTTACTCTAAAGCTCGTAAAGGTCGTGTTTGTAAAACAAAGCGAGTAATGTCTGAAATTATACGACGCTTGACGTTTCTGACAAATTTTATTGCGTGTATATATGATCGTAAAACTGAAGGGGTCTCGTTTTTCGATTTTTCCCATTTGGGCGGTAACGAGAGGTATTGTCTTTAAATCGGCGCTGCACGTGCTCGCTGAAGCGCGAGCGATAATGTAAAGAGGCTCACCTATGATCCCGAAGATGGTCCTGCCGTCTGAACGCCTTCCCGCAGATGTCGCACGAGTACGGCCTTTCGTCGGTGTGTGTCCGTTCGTGTATCAGTAGGTTATAGCTTTTAGTAAACTGGCGACTGCAGAACTTGCATATAAATTGTTTTTTGGGGCGCGACGAACTCTTCGGTCGTACGCCGGCAGGTGTTGTCGTGGTCGTCGTGGTCGCCGCCTGCGAGGTCGTCACGACGCCCGATGCGCTTTGGTTATTGTACAGAGAGTTCATAATCATGCTGGGGTAGCTCGTGTCGACCGGCGACGAGGCAATCGGAAAATTAAGCGCGTCGTCATTGTCAAGCAGCGCCAAATCCTCCTCGACTTCCTCAGCCAAGTCGACGTCCTCCGTCAAACTGGTGTTATGCACACTATCCTCACTAACGCTTTCTTCACTGATTTTAGCACTACTCGTTGCTAATTTAAGAATGTCAATGCGATTGTTACCGTTTCCTGTATTTGCCGCGGAAACGGAAGTCAGCCGCTGAAGCGTGATGTACGATTCCAGAGCTTGCAGATTTAAAGCGGCGGCCGCCGCAGAATTCGGGGGTAGAAGCGCCGCCTGCTGTAAAGAATTCATCATCGCATTTTGCAACGACAACGCCACATTTTGTATCGACCTTTGCAAAAAATTCTCCTGGAGCATTGCGAGATTTAGTGTGGCGTTAACGTCCTGGGTTTTAGGCAGATCTTGCTTGTCACAAATTAGGTTCGCTTCGGTCGACGCCTGCATTTTGCGGTTTTTTTTCGAGGCACTTTCACGTACACGACATCGGCTTACATTTTCGTTGAAAAATCCGCGGGTTCGTCGTCTCACCGCCCGTTGAAGTCGACGTAAATGCTAGGAAACGTAACACGCGCGCGTGGAGACTTAAACAGTAGACAATCGACTAAGCAAGAAACCCGCGGACTCGCGAGTTACTTCTTGGTCCGTTCTGCGCCATCTGGTAAGAGGTCGATGAAGAGGACGCCTCGATGCTGCTGACGGGGGTGGAAGTAAGACGCCAAATTGAAGTGTTTAAACTCGTACTAACAACCCTTTTTCCGATCTTTTTATCGCGTTTACGTTCCAAGAAGGCCTTAAGCAGCGTGAAATTTTCCACTTTCGTCGATTTTATAACGCCACGAGGTTCGTCTCTTAAATTTATTGTTATGTATCGACATTCCGTTACGCTCACGCGAATTTCGTATATGGCGATGACAAACCGTTTCAATTATCAATGCTACCCATTGAAAGGTGTGCGATATTCCATTACACGCATGCGAGAATTTAAATTTTATTGAGAGAAGTGAAATAGAAACCAGAAATTATTTTTATTACCTGATGAAGTTTCTTACATAAAGTGGGCGAAACGTTTCCTTGTTGTATACGGTTTCAAATGGGCTCGAGCTGGGTGGCCTCATGATTCTTCTCGTCCGTTTGATTTTATTTCAAAGCAATCACCGATTGTCAAATTTGACGCCACAATTCACGCCCTTGCAACGTTCCCGATACTGGAGTACTTAGACAGACGACATTACCTGAAGAATTTGAACATGGCATATGGTGTTTAGAATGGCACATTTCGAGCTAAATGATTCCGACAAACCACCTTGATACTTTGGCATATGCCTGGCGTAGCCTTAGAGGGAGCTCTGCTTCCTGGTGATAGCCTCTCCTCCGGTGTTTTATTAGTTTCCGATACCTTCATCCTTTGATCTCGCTTCCTTCTTTCTTGTTTCTCCCTTCCTTGTTGTTGTCCTGTCCCTGCCTCCCTTTCTGTCTCCTCCTCCTCCTCCTCCTCTTGGCCGCTTGTGCTTATGTCTAATTCTTCCTTCACCTCCAGTGCTTTCTTTCTTGATTTTGTGTTTATCTCTGCTCCACTCTTCTCATCTCTCTATGGGAATCTCCGAGGCAACCACCGTTTGGTCTATAGTGGCCTACTTTCCATTCCAAGGCACGTACATTCTTGGCCACCTGCATCAGGATATGGTCTTTGTTCCTCCTGTTTATATGCCCCCAATATCCCAGCTGCCTCATCTTCACTCTCCTGGTGATCGTCTTCTAGTAATTCCCTTATCCGCTTTCTTGTGAAGTTCCTTCCGTTCCTCCCTCCTCAATGTTTGTCTGTTGCTCTTTGTTAGCGCCGAGGTATTCATTCCGTATAAGATTGTCGGAGCTATGATGTTCGGTATTCTCTTCTCTCGTATGAAGTTCCTGATTCCGTGTGTGACTCTGAAGTCTGAATGCGTTGATTATTCTGTCTTTCACCGTGTTGTGTCTACTGGGTGTGGTATATTTATGTACGCGCCCAGCTATTTTATGTTGTGCGTCATGGTTATCTCCCTCCCGCTTATAATCATGTAGCTCTTTTCGTTGTTTATTTGTAGGCCTGTCAATTCCAGGTATGCCTCGATGGTTTGGACTAAGTTCTCGAGGTCTTCTATCTTGTCTGCGACTACAAGTAGGTCGTCCGCGTACGCCAATAGTGTCGGTAGTCGCATCTGTGCCGAAGTTCCTCACGATCCTCCTTGTTTGCTCTATGGCGTTATCCAGTGTTATGAGGCTATGAGCCTTGAGGAGAGCGGGAATCCTTGTTTGATTCCTCTAGTTTTCATTTGGTGCTCGGTTTTCTTCCCAAACCTCCCCTTAGGCACGCGTTTATAATTCTACTGGTTAGGAATTTGCGTCAGGGAAGTGGCTATTGCTTCATGCTTCACGTGGTCGAAGGCATTTGCCAGGTCTATTGCTAGAAGCCATATTTTGGTTCCTGCCCTCTAGTGTCCGTCTATAATCACCCTGGTCGTGAATATATGGTCGCCCGTTGATTTGCCTTTTGTGAAACCTGCTTGATATACTGGTGTCTTGGATGTGTGGCCCTCTAGTCACTGCGAAATAGCGAAATCCTCCTGTATGTTCCTTCTGGTGACCTGACTTTTGGGATGGGGATCTGCACTGTCTGCTGCCATTCTTTGGGGACTAAGTTCCTGGTCCATACCTCCGGAATTAATTCATGTAGGTCCTTTATTATGATGCGTATTGTTGCAATTCATGGCGTTTTCCCCTTTGTCTTCCTAGTATTTCCATCATTTCTTCCACAATGGGGGGGTTAGTGGCCAGTAATTGTTCTCCTCCATTATCTGGCTCTGTGTTTCTTGTTTCTCCTTCAGGAGCTTCTTCCATGCTGTCATTGGTATACATACTTTTTGGTTCCCCCTTATTTCTTTCTTCTGTTTTTTTATGTGCTTCTACATTTTGCGCATTTCTCTCCATTGTGCTAATCTTGGCGATGTTCTCTGCAAGCTCGGCGAATTCCTTAATCTCATATTGTTTTTCTTCTCTCTGGCCTCCCTTAGCTCTTTCTTTGCTTCAGGTGTGTGTGGGTTTTACCCAAACCTCTTCAGTACTCTGCTGTGGTTGTCCAATGGCCATGGCTTGCTTCCTGTTCGATGACATGGGCGGTTTATGTCCCCCAAGAGTGTTCCCTGCTGCTTTCTTCAACGTTTCGGCGATCCCGTTCCAAGCTGGTCTTCCTCCCCCCTTTTTGTTCCTGATCTCGCCCTGCTCCTTTCTATACTTCTCCCTTTTCTACTCCCCTGCATCACACCATTCAGTTCTCCCGCTTTGCCCCCTGTCCTTTTCTTCTTCTTCGCCCCCCCCCCCTACTTTCCCCTTTATCATTTTGTGGTCCGATCCTACTGTGTTCATGATGCTTATTTTCTTTGATTTGGTCCTTACTATGTAGTCGATCTGTGAGTCAGGGCTTCCTCTCCTCCATATTGTCAGCACCGTTTTGGATTTGCTGAATATGTTTTCCACCTTCAATTCATGTAGATGTAGTATGTTCCTAAGCTTGAGCATTTTGCCTATTCCTTGTTCCTCCCCCTCCCTTCCGTCTAGTCTGCCTAGTTACGCGTTGTAATATGATGCTCGGGTATTTTCCGCTCTTTTGATCTATTATTTCACTCAGCTTCTTGAGTTCCGCTTGTCTCCTTTTGTCCGAGGGGATGTGGCATAATAGTCTCGATCTTTCTTCAAATTTCTCAACCTCAATGCCTCGGTGTTTATTGATTACGATTGCCTGTCTAGCCTTCTTCCTCCTATCCACCAGTCGTAGTTGCTTGTCGCGGCCATCCCACTTGTTACTTAGGTTTCCTGTAGACTGGCTACATCTATTCCCTGTTTTCTTAATTCGTCGTCAATTAGCTCCCTTTTCTTTGGGTCGTTTGCCCCTTGTACGTTCCACGTGGCTACCCTCATGCTGTTGCCTCCTTCTGCACGGCCACTCCTCCTCGGCATGGCACTCCTTCCGGATACCACGCTTATATATTCGTTATGGAGGGCGGTTCCTCTCACTTCCTCGTATTCCCCCAGCACTCTTCTTCTCCGGAGTTCCTCCTCTTCTTCTACCTCCCCTATTATGTTTACTGCCCTCACCACGCTGTCGTAGTGGTTCCGGACACAGTTACTCCCTAGTCTGTATGCTATATAGCAGTGACCTCTAGTCTTCGTTATAGTTCGCGGTTCTATGATGTGTTTTTCCCCTTCTCCTTCGTAAACTACTATCTGGCTGTTGTGTGTGTTAGCCTCCGGTCCAGAATCCCCGCTTTCTGTGATCCCTGAGGCTTCTTCGACCTTCTCCTCATTATTGGTATATTGATCCCAATTCCATTACGTTTCCTACAATTGTAGGTAGAATTCTTCCAGGTTCTCCCTGATGTATGTGTTGGTTTCTCCACTAATCCTTGTGGTTAATCTCCTGTGTGGTTCTAATGACACCGGGAATCCCTAAGTTAGTGCCCAATCGCTCCTTTGTGCGCTCTTCTTCGATCATCCTGGTTGCCCGCTATTACTAATCGTTTAGGGGTGGAATTCTGCCATCTTAATCTTGGTTGGAGATGATGCGCACTGTTTATTGATCGCTAAGAGAGATAATTGAATTGGATTATGGGTTAGAACGGTGAGAGATACCCATGCAGTCTAGCTTGGCCACCCTGTACAATATCTGGTAGAAAGGTAGCCTCTTAAAGTAAGATTCGAACTATGAGTCGAACGAAGGTACTATAGGTATCTTATTTATCCCGTTTGGCCAGAGCACATATGTTATTTGACAAGTGTAAAACTCTACACGAAGGCACAAAAAACCACCCAGCCCCGACCCGAAATGCGCTATTAGGAACCTAAAGGTTCCCCTCATAAATGTACAAAAATGTATCGTTAGCTGTGGCAATTTTAATAGTCTGATTTATGGATTAGGGCACTAATATTTTAACGATTCATAAGTTTATGTTGCCCTTCGTAAAGGGTCCAATTTGTTCCGCCCCCTCGAGGTAGGTATATTTGCGGGTGCGTATGAGCGCGACCTTTCGCAATTCACCTGTTTACCCAATCAACCTGGTTAATTACCCTCCGTGACTTGCGCTCTGCTATTCAATCTTTTCCCCTTTAATTCAATTTAATTTTAGCCTATCGAGTATCAATTCTAGCACTTATCTTTACGCCCTTGTTTTCCTGTTAGTTGGAGATTCCTACACTGTCTTGGCCTCCTCACAATTTAATTAGGTCCCCGTGCGTTATTTGTGTCTTGATAAAGACAACTTCCACTTGAGCTTCGAATATAAGTTGGAATTACGCCTGGTCACGCCTCGCGTTTCAAAGTTACGACTTCTTTAATTACTATTACTCGTAATCCTCATCGACAAACCACCTGTAACTAAAAAATTGGAATTTGGGTGCATTTTTTAAATCGCTGACGATCCCAGCAACCGAATACCCTAGAGCTTTCAGGCTTTCGGCATTAGATCTTCGCCGATCACCGTCATACTGTAACCAAACGATGTCAAACTCGTTACTTAGGCATCAGTTTCGTTGGGAAGACATCCCAGGGCATTATCCCAATAGCTTAATCAAAAACCGTAAGATAGTTGAATAATATGTGAGAAAGGTAGTAGTTGAAGCTACTGCTGAAGAAAAAC